TGAAAGGATGGGAGTGGTTTGGTCAGTTGCTGCTCAGCATATGACAGGATGACAGCTGTGCCCGATGAAAATATCCCGCGACAATTACATCGTACGTCCTGTTCAAATGGTGAACTTTGTCACACCCTCCCCATGTTCGAGATATGAAGTGTACCCTTTTCGCGAAGGCGCTGGATTCGCTCGCTCGGTCAGCCGATTGCCATCGATACTTACCCAGTAGAATTGTGAAACTGCCGGTCAAGAAAGTGCACAGTGAACGTGATATTAAAAAAAATGAAAAACTAGAGCGGCTACTTATGGCCCCCTCGCCTTTCTTGATGAATAATCCCATCGCTGATGTGCCCTGGTTTTAAGCCTGAGAAACAGGAACCGGCAAATCAACACGTACTTTTGTGGAAGACTCTCAGCAGTGGAGTTAGAAGAAGGCAAATTTCAATTCTACAGCGAGAGTAACTCCAAGTAAAAACCCCTTTCGCCACGTTCCACCATACAGCGTCCAAGATTCCATGGTGTCGAGCATATCGTTGAGATTTTGTTCTCAATGCGACCGCTGTTCCTTCCTCCCCCCATCCCCCCCCCCCCCCCACCCTCCGCCCTCATACGATTCTGCAACACCGAGGATCTCTGTCGAGGATTCCTCAACGTAAACTTCCACGCGACTCCAAATTCCAAGTGAAGCTTACGCTATTATTTTTAGTTATTTGACTGCATCATAGTCTAAATCTCGGAATGCGCACACAATGGGTTCTCATTTGCAGAATTTACAACTCAGCCAAAATCGCGACGAGAGTCTCAGCTATTCGGCTTTCATGATGGCGAATCCGCCGATAAAGAACGTGATGCGTTTCTTCTTCTTCAACGTTAGCAATCCGGACGAGATCATCTACAACAACGAGAAACCACGTCTCATTGAAACGCAGTCATACGCAGTGATGTGAGAGCTTACCTTCCGCTGTTCTAATTTTCTTCAACTTTCAGATGACTTAGCAGTTTTTCGAGTGCATTTCCACTTCCTTCCTACTTTTAATTCCGTTTCACTAGATTTCGTCCTTGCCTCTCTTGCCCTAATGCAGCACCTTGCCGAGATTTTTCTCAGATTTGAGATATCCTGGTGGAACTCCACACGAGAATTCAAGTAACCTTTATTGGCCTACGTTTCGGCGGGATCGCCTTCTTCAGAGCCTGAAAGGATCGAAGCAATTTATGACTACCCGACCAAACGTCTCCACTACCTTACTGAAGTTCGAGAACATTACAGATCAATCGTAAGAGGGGGCAATCAGCGCAACACAGTCCGGTCTTC